GTGAGAGCTAAGGGGGCTTACATTAATCAAGTAGCCTAGTAAAAGTCAAGGATCGTCACGTAAATGAAGCACCTCAATTAGTAGCAAAGGAACTCACATATATCAAGCACTCTACTGAGTCACATTAATAAAACTCTGTTGCTTCTCACTAAGATTCTTGATTAACGTCAGATCCCTTGCTTCTAAATTGGATTATTTAATTATTCTGAGCTTCCTTGCTTCTCACTGAAGTACTTAATTAACTTAAGAACTCTCACTGCAATGCTTTGATAACGTCAATCGCATTGCTTCTCATTTGGGATGTTTAATCAACATGAGTAACCTTACCTTTAACCGGAGTAATCGATTGACATGAATATTCTTGTCTCTCACTAAGATTCTTGATTAACGTGAGTATCTTTACCTCTCACATGAAGTGCTTGATTAATATGAATCTCCTTGCATCTCACTAGAGTGTTTAATTAAACTGAGAATCCTGGTTTCCCACTTGGGGTGTTTATTAACATGACTATTTTTATTTCTTACTCGTATATAGAGTGTTTGATTAATATCAGCACCCTTGCCTATCATAGAGGTTCTTAATTAATGTAATGTCCCCTGATCTCTCACTATGAGTGCTTGATTAATGTGAGCTTCTTTATTTCTCAATGTGGTGCTTGATTAACATGGCAATCCTAGATTGTCACTGGGGTGCTTGAAAATCGTCAGACGTATTATCTTTTACTTGGGATATTTAATTAATATAAGTATTAAACTTGCCTTTCACTTGGAGTGCTACTTTCACGTGAGTTCATTTACCGCTCACTGGAGTACTCGATTAATATGACTATCTGTACCACTTGGTGAGATTATTGATTAACGTGAGTATCTTTGCCTCTCACAAGGAGTATTTAATTATTGTAATCTGTTCTTGATTAGCGTGAGTCCCCTTGCCAGTCAGTGGAGTATTTGATTAACGTGAGAATTTGGACTCTTACTATGATACTTGATTAATGTGACCCTCTTTGCCTCTCAATAGGGTACTTGATTAACGTAAGCACTTTAGTAAAAGGCAAGGAGAGTTACGTTAATCAAGCCCGCTAGTGGCAGTCAAGGACTCTCATGTTAATGAAACATCGCAAAGAGACGCAAGGGAACTCGCGTTAATCAAGAATATCAGTGAGAGACATGGGATCTTGATTAATGTCAGCTTCTTTGCATATTACAGGAGTACTTGATTAATATAAGCCCCTTTACCTCTGACTGCTATATTTGATTAATATGCTTCTTCTTCTCTCTCGTTAGAGTTCTCGATCAACATATGTTACCTCTCACGAGGTGCTTGGTTAATGCGAATATCCTTGTTTCTCACTTGGATTGCTTGATTAATGTGAGCCTCCTTACCTCTCACTGAGGTGCTTGATTATCTTTAGTTCCTTTACTACTTATTAGGGTGCTTGATTAACTTAAGAGTCACCGACTCTTAATAGGGTACTTAATTAACGTTAGCCCTTTGCCTCTCACTAGGGTGCATAATTTACGTGAATCCCCTTGCCTTTCACAACACCAAGCCATACAATAATGTGAGAGGTAGAGAAAAGAAGAATAGTGGAAAAGAGTAGAAAAAGTTTAAAAAAAAAGAAAATAATTACAATGAAAAAGATAGAAAAAAATTAAAATACCGATGAAAAACCGAGGTGAGTTAGAAGAGGAGGTAAAAGAAGGAAAGAGAAAAAGAAGAGAACTGGAAACATAAATAAAGTGCTTAGAAAATTGGAAATAGGAAAGTGACAAGTAAAGCAAAGAATGAGAAGAAATATTTAAAAACTTAGTAAACGTAATAAAGAAAAAGTGCAAGAACTGAAGAACGAGAAGGAGTCAATGAAAAAGAGACTGAAAAAAGAAAATTGGAGGAAGAAGAAGAAGAAATAGAATCATTAGAGAAAGAACGAGGAAAAAGATAAAAGATCACCACACGCTTGTTAAAAAAGGATGAATTAGAATAACGAGATAAGACGAAGGAATTAGTTAGAGATAATGGTACGAGGGGGAGAGTCAATAAGTCTTTACAAAAAGAAGGAAAAAACAGTTTTGTGTATGTAATTTTTTTTTATTTTTCAACATAATCATCTTGAAGGTCGATACATTTTATTAAACGACCTTCCAGTTTTTTCAGCCATCAGAAAAATATAATTTCTGAAAACCCTCAAAATAGGCATTTCTTTCGGCGATAACTTCTTCGTTCGACGTGAATCGTTGTCCGGCAAGCCATTTTTTGAGGTTAGGAAATAAGATAAAGTCATCAGGCGAATATGGTGGATGGTCAATTAATTCGACTTTAAATCGTTAATATTTGCCATGGAAACTGCACACGTGTGAACTCAAGCATTGTCTTGAAGAAAGAGGCATTTTTTTTGTTCAAGTAAGGACGTTTTCTTCTGATTTTTTCTTTCAGCTAACCGAATAATGACGCATAATATTGTCCAGTGATCGTCTGGCCCTTTTTCAAGTAGTCGATGTAGATGATTCCATACGCATCCCAGAAAACCGTGGCCATAATCTTGTCAGTTGACTTTACTGTTTTTGCCTTCTTTGGGGCTGGTTCTCCTGCGGTAATTCATTGTTTGGGCTGTTCTTTGGTTTCAGGAGTGTAGTGGTGTACCCATGTTTCGTCTACAGTTACGAGTCGACGCCAAAAGTCAGCACCCATCTTGCTGATATTTTTTTCATCCCCAATTTTTCCTGAAAAATTAAAATGATTGTACCCATTGATACCCCTGTGGCCTCAACTAATTCTCGCAATTTTAATCTTCTATCACTCAACATTATATCGTGGATTTTTTTGACCATTTCGGACGTACTCACTTCTACAGGGCGTCTTGAACGAGGTTCATCTTTTGTTGTTGTACGGTCGCATTTAAATTCATTTACCCAGTTATAAACAGTCTTATACACAGGGGCAGACTTGCCATGAACGGCCTTCAACTCAACTGTGATTTCTTTTGGTGTAAGGCCTTTCAAATGAAAATATTTTATCACCGCTCTAAACTCTGTTTTTTCCATTTTTCAAATAAACCAATAACTTTTTGTTCATTCAACACTCACAAAAAAACGACTTAATGAATCAAGCTGAAACTTTGTACAATACCTAGTTAGCAGTATTGCTTGCCATAAAACATCATAATTTAAGTGTGACGAGCGCGATCTCTTGGATTTTGTAAAGACTTATTGACCCCCGTAGTAAAGAATATAATAGAAGAGAAATACTAGGTAAAGGATTATGAAATGAAAGAGACAAACAAGAAAGAAAGACAGGAGGTGAGATGATAAAGGGGAGTACAATTTATATTAATCTAGAGAGAAAACAATAGTGTATAACAATATACACCATCTCCAAAGGCAGCAAGCGATAACGAATTCTGAAGAAAGGAAGGAAGGGTGTTCGGTTTTCCATAAATTAGTACCAGAGGCCTGTATGGATCTATACCTGGTCTCAGTTCTTACCTTGAGAATATTGAACTCCTACCATTTTCTCCTATCAGAGAAGCCAGACCTGTAAGCAAAGGAGAATTCTGCTGAATACTTGGGCTTCCTCATATGACTAATTTTGTACATAAGCAGGGTAGTTAAATAGCTCCTGCGACAATCAGTGCGGAACCAACCCAGCTACTTCTTATAGGAGGTGATGTATTCATTCCTCTTAACACCAAAAATATATCAGATACAGGAGTCACTGGGTCTCTGTAGCATCTAACACGCATCTACAGATATTACCACGCAGTAATTTAGATGCGGCTAGATCAAAGACGCCACCGCTCTTCTGCGCAACGTCAGTGTGGTATAAGGTCTAATAATGAAGCGCAAACTTATTTACCGCCTTATTGACCCTTTTTGTAACCTAATCAATGTAAATGCTATCTCCATGTCTATTTACTACCCAACATGCCACCAAAACTGACTACCTCATTATTGAAGGCAAGAAGACCCCATTCCACAATTCAACTCCTGGAAACTCCATATCCTTAATAGCACTTATGTTTCTTTGAAAGTAACAAATAATTGTCTTTCTTTAGCGATACGATTGAGACACAGACCAGAGCTTATTGGCCACCATTCGTGGCACTTTGAATGGCTTGCAATGTTCTCTCGTAGGTCGTCTATAGTAATATGAAGATAAATCTGCAGGGATTTTATCGAATGTAGGATTAATCTGGGGGAATCTCAGTCAAAGAGTGAGATCAGGGAAATAATTTGATTTATTATTGGCAACACTGCGAGAACTATATGGTAAAATCGAGAACTAGTATAGGATTACGCGGCTGATTCGAAATTCGAAAATTTGCATAAAAAATACATAATATAGCACTATAACTTTATAATACTTATTAGGCATTGAATTTAATAAATATTGTTAGTAAAGTTATTTTTGGGTTGGGTGTTTCGTTTAACAAATCCATTCTAATGTAAGAAACATTTTAGATTCATTTTTGAAAAACTGTTGCAATATTTTTGCACCATTTTTCAAGAGCTTACTTTAATTTCCTTATTTCATTTTCCTCGCGTGATTGCATAAATATACGATATTTTAATTGCAAGTAAAAACTTGTTTTAGGAAATATCATGTGAATAATTTCATTTGTTATGAAAATAACACCTTATCTTAAATCATTGACATATAAGATGATTATTTGTTTACTATAGTTAAAGATTACTGATAATATTTAAAATAATGCAGATACTTGAATAATTAAAACAAAATGAAAGAACGAAATTCATGATAGGGACTTGCTTATTCTTTCGTATTCCTCGGTATGCCTCTGTTTCTTCCATTCCTTTTAACGTAAAAGAGCCCTACAGCACGGTGTATGATAGTGAGTGTGCATGTGAGAGTACGGTGTATAATTGTGTGTATGTATGTATATGAATGATTAGATATAATTATATTTTAAAGCTTATAGTCGTTCTAATTTTCTTTATTGGTTTTAGAAGATGTTAAATTCATTGTTGCTTTCTGGGAGCTCCTGAACAATGCTTTTTAATAGTTGCGTCGTATTGTTTCCTTGCTCGTAATTCAATAATACCTAAAAAAAAGTAAATAAACATTAGAACATGTAATAAATTTTATATTCAAATAAAATATCTATTTATAGCGATAGTATCTATATGACCCCGACTTAAGAAACGACGTAAGAAACTCAGTAGTTAACAGTGCCAAAATATACACTTCGCGGGACTTACATGTTATACTGCCATAGAGTTTTAGCAGAAGGACCTTATTAAAAAAGTTTAAGGGATGATTACAACTATCCAATGAGTCAGAAAATTATTTCAGAGTATCTACATAGTGTTATACCTGCCATCAATCAGCTAACTGTAGAATTTATACGTTTTCCTAGTAACTGATTTGAAAGATAAGGCTGTATCGAGAAGGTAGGCATAGATAAATAAAACTTTTTAAGACATATATAATAAAAAATTTTGATTTCCTACGTAATTATATTTATTTATTTATATTTATATACGCTATTATTTATTTATATATGCTATGCGCGTACGTCGTACTCGTATGTATTTGTCTCGCACTAGTTGTGCAAAGTATTATAAATGCTAAAATATAAATTTTAATACAAATTTTCAAGGCTTCATAAAAACTATGTTTTTAGCTAATTTAGCTTACACCCAATCCACTTATTTATCGACTCCTAACAGTGAGAGGGATTCGTGAATATTGCTACTCAACGCCCGTGAAAAGAGGAAGATGCTGTATTAAACAAACGTTTGGAATATTGCAAGAAGTTTATAAATGCATTAACGGGATCACCTTTTCATCATTATATAGCGCACTTGGCTGTCGCGATTATTCAAGCATCTGCAGATTTTTACAATTTTCTCAGACACTATGGGTAAAATTATTATAATAGTAAACAATTCAATTGGTATTTTATATATAAATACGTGAAAATAAGTTTTATTTTCTGAATATTCATTCTATTACTTAATAAAAAAAAATTTTTTTTAGGATACCTATATATATATATATCACTATCTAAGGCCCGACGGGATAATAATTTCATATTCCTTGTCGACGATTGATCAGCAAGGTTTTTTAAAGAGACAATATAATTAAACATGATTTCCAAAATAACATTTGAAATAACCGCTGTTTTATCATTATTAATGTCTTGCGAGTTTTTAAGCTGTAACCTCTTTATTTTTTCATGAATAATAAACGCAGTATTCCAACTGTTAACATATTACGTTCTTTTTAAAGATTCAGATTTTTAGACGATGTTAAAATTGTCAGGAATTGTTTTTATAATTGTAAACCTAACATAGAGGTGGAAAGTATGTTTGAACTATAAAAATGTAGCATTGCGCAGCATAAGCTATGTAAGTAGCTTCTTGTCAGTTTATTGAAATAATTTATATTAGTTCCTTCGGAACACGTTATTATTCCAAAAGTAATATAAAAACACCATGAAAAATTATTTCAAAAATAAAAATTGCATTCTTGCAGTAGCAATAATATTTTAAACGATTATTATATCGTACATATTGTTTACAAAGCAGTTATATGAGAAAATATTGTTTTTCCTCTTTTTAAATTATTTTAAAAAAATAACCTATAACATTTGATTTACTGCTTAAAATACATTATAAAGATCTACTTTATCAATTTTTTTAATAAGAAATTGTACTTATAATTCTTGGATTGATACTTTTGCAATACTACGTCGAAAATGTGATTTGTGTTGTTAAAACAACCTGTTCATGGACGAAAAGAGTTTTAATATTATCCAAAACATACTAACTATAGAATAATGGTGTTTTTCTCTGAATAATACTTACATAGTCTGCACTACGTAATGTTAAATTTTAAACATACTTACTTTGCCTTTCATACTAGGTTGATGAAATAATTTCTGAGATCGTTGAGATCGTCTTCGATTACTTTAATAAATAATTCGAGTATTTCATGCTTCAAAATTTATTGATACACGAAATCGTAAGACTATCCTTGTATCTTTGTAATCTATATGTCTTTCAAATATAGCAATAAAAGAGTTTTCAATTTTATTTTTTTTGAATTTTTCAATCAAAACTTTATTATTGACTGAGTATAGCTTTGCCAACTCTATTGACATCATCAACAAATTTAGGAAGCATACAATTATGTGTCATAATAAAGAATTACTTAAGTTTGTTTTGTTTACTTGAATTTTCTTAAATTAAAACGAAATATTCAATAACTTAGTATTATTTATTAATTTCATTAACTACTAAAATGAAATCCTACACAAGTTCGATTATCCGATGAGATAACTGACCATTCATTAGAAGGAATTAAAGATAGTCACAAGGTAACCACCTGTGACTGGAAGAGTTTTTGCAATCAAATTATGAGATGTATCATCTACTCCTTTTGCTTGCAAGGAAAAGTTTAATACTACTATAACGAGTTTATTTCTAAACTCGTTATGTCTCTCTCTACCTTCATATTATCTATATTAGTTATATAAATTATGTCAATATCCTTTATATGCAATTACATAGGTATTCGATGTAGCAGCAGCCGACACAGCCAAAAGGTGAGAGAGAGAGTGCTATAGAGAGTTGCGTTAAAGAAAAAGAGAAAGAGAGCGATATGCCCTAACGTATACGTCGCGCTGAGAGCGTTTTAACAGGTCAGCTCGTGCGCGACTGAGACTGAGGTGAGAGAAGGGACACCGCGAGCGACAATTAGCTGTTCGACTCGAAGCCGCGAACATGTGTCGATTGACGCGATCCATTTGAGGCCTTGCCGATTTCGAGTGGCTTTTCTGTTAAGGATAGCGATTTTGGCCTTGCCATCGATACCGGCTTCTGACAGCCTCTAGGTGGACAGAGTGTGTGCGTATGCGGTGTGCCGAGAGTACAACTAACGCGGGCTTAACGCGATGATAGCGAGTCGTTGTTGCATCAATAAATTTCGACGCACGAGCGTTCGAAGAAGGCATGACCGAGGAAAATGTAAGTACCTTCTCATACTTTGTCTCTCTCTCGGTTCGCTTGCTTTCTCTCTCTCTCTCCCTCTCTCGGTGAGTAACGATACACTGGTCTTTGAGGCTCTCTTCCTTAATTATCTCACTTGTTACAGTTTCTTGCGAAGTTTTGAGATCCGGGGAGGAGATATGGGAAACTTTTTGACACATTTTATGAATTTTTATTTTTTGTCTTAACTAGTTTTTAAATTTTCAAACCTTTCATTTTTATCAAATGGTCTTGTCTTCATGCGCCGAGTGTGGTGAAGCGCTGAGTTATCTGGATGCTAATATCCTGCAGTACGAGTCCTGTGATAGATCTTTCCATCGACACTGTTTCTATATAACCTCAAACCCTGACCTTGCGACCTTTACCTGTCGTGCCTGCTCTTTTCAGTCTTCGGTTTTGGCCAACTCTCGTTAGTCCGGTGGTGTTTTTTTGGAATCCCCTCCTTCCACTCAAATTGACTCTGCTTCTGCTGGTACTTTGCCTTTTATCGAAATCTCAGGCCGTAAGAGACAGGCATCACCTTACGAGCTTTTCCCATCGAAGACGTCGAGAGTGGAGTCCCGGAGCGACTTTTGTGGTACTGACCAATCGGCCGCCCTTCCCACTGTTTATTCCTCCAGCACGGACCAAACCCACTTGCTGGATAGCATGGCATCTACCACGGGCGACAAACCACCAGCATGGTTTTCTGGCTTCGTGAATAATGAATTCACTGGATTTCGGAACGAGATCAGAGCCACCCAGACTTCCATTCTGACCAAAGTCAATCGTGTTGCCGACGAGGTGAAGAGCCTCAATTCCGTGGTGGGTCTCAAGGATCGTTCCGAGCTCCTTATTCTAGGCCTATCGCAGGGGTTCCAGGGTTCACTGGAGGATGCCGCCGGGATGCTTTATGAGGCGATTGGCTGCCCAAACGCTGGTGGTCGCATAGTGGCCACCAGAAGATGGACTGCCACTCGTTCTCGTCCAAATCCGACCGATACTACGTCCACTTTCGTCGTGCGTATCGACTCAACGGTGGTGCGTGATATCATACTGGAGCGCTCGGGCAGGCTCGCTGGGAAGACGGCGAGGGACATTTTCAAGTGCGGTCACGGAAACCCCGTCTTCATCCGCCAGCTGTTACCGCAGCCGATCCACAATCTCTTTGTAAAGGCGCTCGCGCGCAGTCGTGAGTTGGGTTTCGCGCGCCCTTTCGTCTCGGGTATGGTCGTCCATATGCGGGAGAATACACGTTCCACCCCGATCCCAATCACGTCGGAGAGTGACCTTGACACCTGCACGCCTTCGCCTCCCGGTCAGCTTCCTGCCCAGGCCGCTCCACGCTCTAGTGCCGTGGCAGTGGCTGCCACTCCGATCGGCACTCGCAGACATGCTCCAATCAACCTTAACTTCGCGTCCCAGGTGGTTAAATCGCGACCTACTGCCTCCATCCCAAAAAACCCGGCTCCGCAATTTAGCAAAACAGACGGTTGTTTTAGCCCGACAGTGTCTGTCTTTCCGGCCCAGCTATCTCAAGCCATCCCATCTTCATCTCCTCCAGTTTCTGGTCCATGATGCCAACTAACCCGGGACCATACCCCGCCCTCTGCTTCCTTCGTTGTCGGCCACATCAATATAAACAGACTAAATTCCCCCTGTCACTTTGCTCTTCTCGAAGCACAAGCCATTTCTACACATTTTGATGTCATAGCCATTACTGAAACTTTCCTGATATCTCTGACTTACACCTCTCTCTCCCCGATTTCAATTTTTTCAGGCTTGACCGAATTGGAAAGCAGGGTGGCGGTGTTGGCCTGTAAGTCAGATCTCACCTTAAATTCAGTTTTCTAGCTACTTCAGATCCAGTTTTCGATAACACACCTGAATTCATCCTAGGTGAAATAAAGTCCGACAACACCAAGCTTTTGATGGCGGTGGTATACAGACGTCCCTCTGCTTGCTCTCCCGCACACTTTTTCAACTGCTTGGCCACTTACCTCCCTCTGTACGGAAATGTCATCATTACCGGTGATTTTAACGCAGACCTAGATTCCAGCTCTCTGCCGGA